TGTTGTTAATTTCAGAATAATTACATTAATGCTTCTTATTGCTTATAAGCAAACACTATACATGTTGTCAATTTATGCCGACTATAATGGTGAAACTGATCAAATTTATTTCATTTTTCTCATATAAAACGTTGGTCAGGCATATTACAGTTGAATGAGTATCAGGATGATCAAACGTTTGGCCATTTTTATGAAATCTGGGATGACAACGCAACCATGCGACTGATTGAATGGATTTAATTTGTCATATAAAACTGTTGCCATGACATACTACATCCATTCTACATGTCAAAAAGGAAATATTAAGATGAATGCGAGAACAGGAAGCAAAAATGAAAACCGATTCACTGTAAGATTAGATTTTGCGTCAAAAGAAGCATAGAATTAACCTACCTGACAGCATACATAATGAGCTTGACAATGAAAGCACCCAGGCTGTATTTGCTGCTGATTCATCAAAGTAGTTCTTAAGAGAAACATACAGTAAACCAGTAGAAAGCTGTGTGCCCATGAGAAAGAACTGCACTGTGAATGCACTGAATACTATGACCCATCCCCATCCACCTTCTGAAGGGTTATCTAAACGGTTTTGTTGACTCATTATATTAGACAGCGGTGCATATCTGTAAAAGACAAAAAAATGTCATCTAAATGTAGGTAAATGTTAATGGGCAGAAAGCAATATTATATCGATGTATAAGACAGACGTACAACCGTGGTAACATGCAATGACCTCATGTACAAACTAGATTTAAACGTAAATGGCTGCTGCAATCTCATTGAGAAAAGACCCAAGAGACATGTTTGTGACCCCTGAATAGTGCTTCATTCATTTCTCGTTATCTATTGTAGCATAATTTATTGGGAAATTAGTTTTATAGTTCTTTTGGCCTCCATTGTGACAAAGGTCTATTGTAATGCAAATATCCAATAATTGGTTAGTTACAACATCAATAGTGTTGGTTGTACACTGTATTGTAATAATGTTTACCATTAGCATATTAGTTGTTGCATCAAACTCTTGATCAGACGACCAACGTTCAAATACTGGTCAGCGTATGCAACTCAATGGAGGGGTCAGCTGTCCGAACATCTTTCACTAATAACTGATTCTTTAGGGAACCCCCTTTAAGTTATGAGCCACTGGTGCTCTCATTTGGTCATGCATTGTTGACATTAAATTGATATAATCCTATAATGAAAAGGAGATGGTCAAGGCCCAAAATATAACTTGCTTCTCTGGACCCGCCCCTTTTCAAATGTACTGTGTCTTTAGTGGAGCTGTACTTTTTCTCCAGCAATATTTTATCTTCTTTATGGGCAGTGGAACATACATGTAACACAATTTGTAAAATAAAATCTCTTTACTTTACATGATTTTCTTTTGAAAAACCATTAGGTCGTCGCCCTTGTATTCTCTCTTGGAAAATCCCTGGGTGAAAGTTTACTTTGGGGTATATCATCACTGTATAATTCTTGCTTTGGCGCCCTATTATTATTTTTCCAGTTTGCCTCGCCTTCCACCGTTTTTGTTCTCAGCTCATTTGACAAAACAAAAACACTGAACAAGTGGTATAAAAACCGACAGGGGTGATGTGAAGATAGTTTCCCACCCCTCATTTTCAAAATGTTGATACGTCAACAGGTTCTCTTTATAAAGCTCATTGAAGTCGGTGATTTTGGTCAAATGGTTTAGCTACCATCGTTGTAATTTTTGACTGATAGCACATTTTTCGGATTATCTTGAAATTTTCTATGCTGCATCCTTATACCAAACACATTCGAATCAGTCACATGATTTTGCTGCCACCTTGGTTAACGACAAAAATTGTCATATTTTGGAGCATTAATTGTGGGCTTTTATTCATTTTAAAATTACACGATTCGTGTAACACAGGAATAATTTACTCTGATAGATATAAACTATACAATATAATTAGAAACAAGACATGAATGTCACAGTCCCCGTTATTTGATTATAAAGTAGTACAAGGAACATCTGCAAACAGGTGAATAAATATGTAATCTATGTGGGTACAACTCATCATAAAGTGATTTCCCATAATCTAGTTTTGTACTGACTAAACTAAAACTAATGACCCATGTTCAGAATCTCAGAATACACAAGTGTAACAAAACTATTTGTCACATGTATACTTGCTCAAGAAACTGCATTCATTAACCTGAGTGAACATTGATGTACATGACTTCTTAGTATATTACCAGGACCTGGGCTTGTTTCAAAATCACCACTGGGCATCAGAATCATTTTCATGTTGTCAAATACAATTTGTTATTAATACAGTAAGGTTTATTATTTAAAATGTATGCATTGTACATAGAACAACATCTGTTAATTGTTAAACAATTGTAGAAGCTATGTTTTCAGAGCAAGTACATGTAATTTGAGGAGCGTAGTCATTATTGCCAAAAGCACATCTACTCATTTCAAGGTGTGATCCTACCAAATATGAACTAAATTGGCCCAATGGTTGCTGGGTTAAGAGGAAATAACTGCATTGATCTAATTTGCATATTTTTAGGAGAGTGTGGTCATTACTGTCAGAAGCACATCATCTCGTGTCAAGGTGTAATCCTACCAAATATGAACTAAATTGGTCTAATGGTTGCTGGGATAAGAGCAAATAACTGCATTGATCTAATTTGCATATTTTTGGGAGGGTGTGGTCATTATTGCCAAAAGCACATCTAATTGTACCAAGGTGTAATCCTACCAAATATGAACTAAATTGGTCTAATGGTTGCTGGGATAAGAGCAAATAACTGCATTGCGTTGATCTAATTTGCATATTTTTGGGAGGGTGTGGTCATTATTGCCAAAAGCACATCTAATTGTACCAAGGTGTAATCCTACCAAATATGAACTAAATTGGTCTAATGGTTGCTGGGATAAGAGCAAATAACTGCATTGATCTAATTTGCATATTTTTGGGAGAGCGTGGTCATACTGTCAGAAGCACATCTACTCGTGTCAAGGTGTAATCCTACCAAATATGAACAAAATCAGCTCAATGGTTGCTGAGATCAGAGGAAAATAACTGGATTTAGCTAATTTACATATTTTTTGGTGTGACCCCAACACGTAGGCGCCAGTTATGTAGCCTCAACGTCCACGTGTGGGAATAACAGTGATATGCCACTGATTCAATCCACTTTTACAATGCATAAACAACCCGTTTTATACCACACCTGGCCAGATTCCAATTTCTAAACTACTTGGACATGAACCAGGGCAAACACTTTAATGTGATAGGCTCGGAATGAGTCGAGGCAGTTTCTCAGTGACTCGTACAAATTCACTCACCATCAATAACAATAAATGCACAACTCAACTCTACACATGTTGCAAGTATCAACAATAAACATGGCAAATCTGTATTCTCCACCCAAAAAAACATTTCACAATAGCATAGAAATACAGGTAGTCATAAAACACAATTAAAATACATCAAATGATAACCACAGCCCAACCCACTTTTATAGAGCTCTGAAAACAACAATCACTATCGAATCAGTCCCTCGTCACGTGTTACGTGTGTACTCACGGCAAAGTGCTCAACGCGCACGTAGTTCCCAGCACCAGGGTAGTCAACGACAAAAATCGGCGAATTCCAAGTTACCATCAAGTCCCGTCGATTACTCAGCATACCATCGATGGAGGGGCCCCTTAGCGAGTCTTCTGTCGGATCCAGGTCGGCCTCCTTCCTCAATTTCCGCCAATTCACTTGACGCAATGATCCTGGGACCTCGCCGTAGGCGGCAGTATTTTCATTCGAGGTCAATTTTGGATCACCAGGTCATTCCTAAACGCGTAATTAGGACTGAGTCGAGAATCAATTTTGGGTGCCAGAAATCATCCAAAGACGTTTATTTGGGTATAATTTGTGCTGTCAAGACAAAGTTCAGGCTAATAAAATAAGATTGACGACGTTTTCCTATGAGGAAAAAGTGAATTATTTGTTGAAAAA